CGCCAGGAGGGACAGATGCTGCCGCCGCCCCGCCGACGCCCCAGCCGTGCGAGCCGGCGCCGCTGCCAACGATCCGGGTCACCAACCGGCCGCTGCCCCTTCAGGTGCAATCTGAGATGCGAGATCTGAGGTCCGAGGTCCACAAGATCTTGACTGAAAGCATTCTCGTCGCAGAGGGATGTCGAGCTGGCAGCTCAATCCTTTTCTGTTGCGACCCGCCCAAATGCCCTCTTCCTGCGAATTCCCTCATTCCACACCCCACCCCACCTACCTCACCTACCTCAATTATGTGACCTGCACCCTGCCCCCACCCACACCGTCGGCGCCCTGGAAACGCTTCAAAACGTGCCCCCAACAATACGACAGAGCGCACTCTCTTTGCAGATCCCCGCCCACCCCAACACCCCTGCCTCAACCAACCCGACATTGCACCCCTCGAAACCTCCTCAAAACCCTGATCAGCGCGGCGAGGCCGCCCTGGCGGTCCAAGAGGATGCGTCCGCTCTCATGCTCGTGCTGTGCGTCACCCTGGCCGGCAGCGTGCTCAGCGCGTCCTTCGTGGTCGCGCTCGCCAGGTGAAGGGCTTGCGGGTGGCGGGCCCCATTATTGTGCGCCAACACAGCGCGCCTGGGGCCTGCGGAATTGTTTGCGACTTCTTTGCACCTGATCTTTGACCTGTTGGTGTAGAGGATTGACTTTTCTGGCGCATGGGCGGGACGGGGGCCGGGGCGGGGGAGGGGGCTGTCGGCAGGTCCACCTTTGCAGCTTCATCCTATTTTGTTGGGATGACGATTCTGTATACTTTGTAAACACATCACACACAGCCGCAGCGCAAGATTGACTCGCCAATCAGCCCCGCACCTCCACACCCCTCACCCACGCCCCCCCAGGGAGCGCGACAGCGGCTTCAAGCACCTGCAGCTGCTGGCCGGCGCGCCCCCCACCGCGTTCTGGGCCGCCAATTTTGCCGCCGACATGCTGGCGTTCAGCCTGCCCGCGGGCGGCATTGTGGCGCTCGTGGCGCTGACAGGGAAGCGGCTGCCGTCGCTGCAGGTGCGTCGGGCGCGGCGGGCGCCCGGCTGCGTGCGGCCGCTGCGCTTGGCGGGGCCTTCAAGGGATTTAGGGGTTTGCTGGAGGATGATTCAGAGGGAATGCGCCCCCCTGCCACCCCCGCAAGGGACAGCATACCGCCAAATTGCAGCCAGCGGTTCTGTCTGTCGCACCTGCTGCGCCTGCATGTTTATTTCTTCTGTGCGCCTGTCACCACCGTTGTCGACAGCCGCCGCGCATGGACACCCAATCGAATTTCCACCTTCTGCCCCCTCGCCACGCCACGCCAGGGGCCCCGCCTGGCTGCGCTGGCGTCCCTTCTGTGGGCGTTTGGCGCCGCGGGGCTGTCCACCACCTACATGCTGCACCCGATCTTCTCGGTGAGAACTTCCCACTCCTCTATGACTGCGCGCTTTCAAGTGTGAGCGAGCAAGTGCGCTATTCCAAACCCTAAAGCTTCAACCTAAACTCTGAACCCAGCCTCCGCCCCAGCCATTCCCCGCGGCTGCATTCAACAGCGCGGCCGTCATGATCTGGGCTGGCAATGGCTGCGGCGGCACACGGTTTGTCTTGTGCAGCCTGCGAGCTGCAGCCCTGTGGCCGCCAGAACCCGCAGGCCTGAGCTTCCCAACACCCCGAATCAAAATCATCTCAACAAGTCACCCAATGCATCTGGTAATCGCCGCCGCAGGATGAGATGCGAGCCCTGCAGCGCCTGAACAGCGCCTACTTCCTCACGGGCTACCTCGGGTTCCTCGCGACATGGGTGGGTCGACGAGATCTTCAGATCACGCTGATCTGAGGTCTCCAGATCACAGCACCGCCGGCGCGGCCTGATCCCGATTCAAACATCATCAGGCATATGCCCGTCTAGCCCGGCAGCTCGCGAGCGCGCCGCTTGACGTGCGTATGCGAGCCACAGGAGTTGTCGTCGTCGACCTGCAGGAGCAAAACTAGTAAGCCTGCCCTCCTCCCCCCCCCCCCCCCCCCCC